TACTTGTAACTGGTATATTATAGGCAATGTAAAATAGTCTTATATATTTTATGATAGATTATATAATAATATATAAATAATAGTGATACCACATCATCATCAATATATAATATTACTAACTGATAGCAAATTAACGCATGAAAGGTTAATCTTATTTGTCAAATATAAATAACAATTCAATAATTCTACATTTTCGTAGTAGGGTTAACTATGTTTACATGTAAGTTTGGTATCACTGTTGTACTAAATTTTTTTTTATAAAATTTTCATACATAATGATGTATTTTTGTAATTTCTTCATTTTTAATCAAAACAACCATCATTGTTTTTGTAATTTGTAAAATGCCATTAAAAAATCATTTTAAATTTCTATTTAAATTTTGTATTTGTTAATTATTTTTCTTTATATATAAAAAAATTAAATTAAATTAAAAAAAATTAAATTGCAAAATTGAGGAGCATATCCCTTCATAGCTCCGTCACTGAATCAACTAGTTTCCCCACGGTATTATACTTTATTCCATGTACTTTTTCCATGCCATTTCATACTTTCTAATTCAATTAGGTTGCATTTAGATTATGAATTTAAGCAAAGATTTAGAAAGAAAAAAGAAAAATGTGAATGAAATATAAATTAATTTTTTTTCCATTTTTCTTTTCCTTTTCAAATTCTTATACAAATTCATGATTCAAATATGGCGTTAGCAAATTTTGAATTATTTGGAATTTTCTTTTGGAGTAGGCTATAGTAGTCCTCCTTTGTTATGCAATTGCCAAGCTTGAGTCACAGAGGTGTATTAATGAGTTAAAAAAATTCATTAATATATTTATTATTTAATTCAATAAAAATTAACTAAAGTCTTGGACCTAGTGGTTATGTAGCATTACTTCATCGTGTGAAATTGCGAGTTTAAATCATATGAAAAAAAAAATTAATACCTTTGTGTTACTCCCTTCTTCTAATAAGAACTAATAAACTAGCTCTACTTATCTATACCAAATGAATGGAAAATATATTAAAGTTTGAAGAAGTCAATGAAAGGAAAAAGAGACAACACAAGTACACTGTAGAAACCAGATACATATGAAAATTAATAAAAATACTGAATAGTTCCATTTTATTCAGTATTTTTGAGCTGAACCGTAATCTATGGTTGTTAATTTTTTACAAGAAGAATCAAATTGTACTCTCAAAAACTAGACTAAGCCATATGGTTTAAACTGGTTCTGATCAATTTACAATTTTACCCTTTTTTTTAAACTCCTAATCCTGTTTGAACATGGATCCTGTCATCTGTGAACCACAATTGCCCCATCTAGTCTTTACCCACCATATGTGGGTTACTGGGTATTCAAACAATGACTAGGAAAACCCAATGCAAATAAGTTTCAAGAATCAGATATACGAAAATTAAACGACTGTTCTACTTGTAAAGAAATCAATCATAGATATGAAAATTTAGAAGTTGTTTTATTTGCAAAGAAACCAATCATAGAACATACCATATTATTCTTGGACATTTTCAAAATTAAAATGAGCTTACTTTTAGGTGAATTTTCATGAACCATCACGTATATGCCCTCGACTCCACTGGTTTCTTGATATACCAAGTCTCCAGTCCACGTTATACAACCCGTTCCATTGCTATTGCTTGTGGTGAACCCAACACAACTGCAATTGTTCCAGCACTTTTCCATACAATCGCTGATGCTTAAGCCCGAATTATCGTCGCGCTGGCTAACAGGATTTCCTTCAACCCTCGCTTGCTTTTGCATGAACGTATCTTTCCTGCTCCGGCATGAGGGAAGCCCGAAACCGCTCACACAACCATCATTACTACCCGATTGATACCCATAACAAAATCGATATGGTGTAATATAAGTGTCACTACCAACAATACCCCCCCTTGGCTCCAACCTCCACATCAGTAATGGTTCATCATAAACAGAGTATGTGAGATACTTTTCTTCTTTGTTTGATACTGGAAGAAGGTTGTAATGGAACGCAGAATTAGGACCATTCAACATAGGCATGCTCGGGAAATTTTGATATGACAAAAGCCCACTCGTCCAGTATCGCTGTCCATCCCGATAAATCACCAATTCACCTGAACTGATGAGCAGTTTGGGTTCCTCCCAGGTCAGCTTAAAGGTTCCCGAAGCACAACATATGTTTGGATACTGATGATCAACAACAACATCAACAACAATTTGAAGAAGAAGAAGCAGACGGGTACCCCGAAGAATCGTTCCAAAGTTGGGCCAACTACGGGAAGGCTCTGAAGCAAACTCCGGCGAGGCTAATGGACCAAGTCTTGACTCGGTCACTCGATTCGGCCAAAAGCTAACTTGCAGAGAAATTCTCTAGTTTGGTCCAGAGAAATTCTTTGGTCTAGAGAAATTCTCTGGTTTCCAAAAATTAAATACAATCAAGCCACTATACATCATAAAAGTTCATATCAAATGAGAAGCACAACCATATGGATTTGAGTCTTTGGGAACGGTTTTATCTGTTTGGGATAGGGAATTTGAGCCTGAGCGAGCTCGATTACTGGCCGCCGCAAGATAGGGCATGGGTGCTGTGATCGGCGCCGAAATCTTCGTCCTCACTAGACTTGAGGCCAAAACCGTTGTCGGACCAGCCGTCGTCTTGTCCTACGTGGTCTCCGGCGTCTCCGCATGGACTTCTGGGATGGCATACTGGACTTGGGCAGAGTCAATACATGTGGGGGTGAATATGTCTGATGACAATAGAAGATTTGTCCAATGATGTGACCCGAGAGGCTGCCAAGAAGACAGAAGGCTTCTCAGGTCGAGAGATAACGAAACTAATAGCCAGTGTTCAAGCAGCCGTGTATGGACGCTTGGCAGCAGCAGTGGGTTCATTGATGATACGCATCATGTTAAGACCAGCAATTACACCAGCATCCTTTGTTGCCTGACGTTGAGAATCATTGAAGTAGGCTGCCTCTATGTCTATTCAACAGCTCTGCAACACAACTATGGCGCTCTCTCTCTCTCTCTCTCTCTTTAGATTCTCTCTCTAAAAAGTGCAGAGTGTTTTTGATAGGTAGATTGGAGAGACAAATCATTGAATTAGTTGATGGAGGTTTGAAGAGTGAAGGATATCAAATTTCTCTGTAGGGACCTTAGACATCATAATATAATATTGTGGATCTTTTCCATTACTAATATTGGGAGAGGGACCTTAGACCAATTTACCCAACAGGAAAATTATAATATAAGTTAGGAAAGTCTAGTTTATATTTAATATTTGTTCCCTATCTAAAAATGGTTAATATTTGCTTCAAATTAGGTTGCTTAAACAAAAAAAGGAAATCCGTGTACTAAATTATTTTTGTATAATTACTCATTTAAGGAAAAAATTATGTGATTAAAAGAATTTTGTGATTAGGAATGACAACAAAGTAGATATGAAAATATAAAATTCATATCCAATCTTAGTAAGGTTGGTGATTAGTTAAGTTATATTCTTGAGTGATCAATTTTCTTGATTATTATATTTTTCTTCTAAATAAAAAAAAATGTAAGTTTTCATAATTTCATTTATTTATTTTTTTCATATAATGAAAGCCGAAGCAACGTAAAATTTATTTTACCACTGAAGAATGATGGTCTCATTGGCATAAAATGAAAATAAAATAAAATAGCCAAAAGTCACAATAAAAAAAAATTGTAAATTTTTTTCTCTACTTTTATGAATATCTTTTTATAAAATGTTTAAAAATCAATTAAAATAACTAATTCTCAAAACAATCCTTTGGCAACTCAATAAAATATTCCCAAAACCAAAACCTCGTTACAAAATGTCGATCACTTCTCTTTACTTTTTTTTTTTTTAACACGTTTTTTGAAAAAATTAAAAAAATATATTAAAATAGCCAATACTCAAAACACCCCTTAGTCCTTATTTGACATCCAGCTAAAAAAGTCAAGTTTTTTTCTAGTGATTTTTTTATTAGAATTTTTTTTCCATGTTCAACTAGTGCAAAAAAATCTAAAAAGTAAAAAATTAAATCAAGAAATTCAAGTCACTACAAGAAAAAACACTTTTGGTGACCACCTATTTTTTTTGGTCGCAAATAGTCCACTTTCTGCGACTAAAATTTAACTTTTGGCGACCACAATTTTTTGGTCGCGGAAAATCACCTTTTGGCGACCAAAAAAAAAAGTTGGTCGCGGAAAGTATGATATTGGCGACCAAAGGCTTTTTGGGTTGCGGAATATCACCTTTTGGCGACCAAAAAAAAAGTTGGTCACGGAAAGTATACCCTTTGGCGACCAAAAAAAAAAGTTGGTCGCGGAAAGTATGATATTGGCGACCAAAGGCTTTTTGGGTTGCGGAATATCACCTTTTGGCGACCAAAAAAAAAGTTGGTCACGGAAAGTATACCCTTTGGCGACCAAAAAAAAAAGTTGGTCGCGGAAAGTATACTATTGGTGACCAAAGGCTTTTTTGGTCGCGGAAGATCACCTTTTGGTGACAAAAAAAAAAGTTGGTCACAGAAAATATACCCTTTGGCGACCAAAGGCTTTTTTGGTCGCGGAAGATCACCTTTTGGCGACCAAAAAAAAGTTGGTCACGGAAAATTATACTATTGGCGACCAAAGGCTTTTTTGGTCGCGGAAGATTACCCTTTGGCGACCAAAAAAAAAAGTTGGTCGCGGAAAGTATGCTATTGGCGACCAAAGGCTTTTTTGGTCGCGAAAGATCACCTTTTGGCGACCAAACAAAAAAGTTGGTCGCGGAAAGTATACTATTGGCGACCAGAGGCTTTTTTTGTCGCGGAAGATTACCCTTTGGCGACCAAAAAAAAAAGTTGGTCGCGGAAAGTTATGGCGGGATAAATTTAAAAAAAAATGATACTACAGTAATTACATGCTATTTTTCTATTTAGGCATTAAAAGTTTTATAAAATAATATATAACCCAATTTTTATGGGTTATATATATTTTTTGCCAAATATGAATAAGAAGTATGTTATTGGCAGAGTGGCAGAATGGATTGGGTGCATAAGGTGACTCCTTGGTCAGGAGTTCAAGTCCTAGGGAGCACAAAAGAATTATTTTTTTTGGGTCAAGGCACTGACTTTTGGCGACCAACTTATCTTTGGTCGCTAAAAGTTTATTTTTGGCTAATATGAATTGGACTTTTCGCGACCAAAAAAGTTGGTCGCGAATGGTCACTTTTAGCGACCAAAGACTTTTTTGGTCGCAGAAAACTATCTGTGAAGCGACCAACTTGCGACCAACATATTTTGGTCGCGAAAAGGTTTTAGCGACCAAAATGTTGGTCACGGAAAGTGTTTTTTCTTGTAGTGAATAGTATCAGAGCTTAGGTTCAACCTTTACCCTCGCGTTTCGACTTCAAACAACTTGACCATCACCTACGAAGGGAAGTGGTTTTAACTTTGAATAGGGCAATGTGTTGAACATTAGATACAATATAGAAGTAGGGGGTACTGTTATTTCTATGAGTCTTCTATCAATCGTCATACCCTCATTTCATATTTATAACCTTGTTTGATGTCAATTACTTTCAAGATTAAGTCATCACCATCTGGTCTTACTTTATATTTTTCAATTATACCATTTGCTAGATTGGCAACCTTGAGCCTTGGTTATGCCATCTTGTACAAGAATTTTTCTAAAAATTGCAATTTCCTTATTTGGTGACAAATCATGGATATTCAGTTTGAAACGTGGATGACCGACACAGTTTCAAGTTAAATATCTGACTTAGTCACTACCTCTATAACCTTGACCACATGAAAGTCTTGAACCATAATCCAACTGTATTTCAAATGATCCTTGTATTAATTGATGCAATTACTATAACCGCTTCATATTCTTCCATCCCCACTTCATATTCCTTTTATTAATCCAGTTTTAAAAGTCTTGTAGTTATTATTTTGCCTATATATATATGTGTGTGTGTGGGAAGTTGTGTTGTGTGGTTCCCTATAGTTGTTATTTACTACTTGATCTTATTCTGGTTTGGACCCGAACCATTTTATGTTTTGGATATGGGTTTCATTGCCTTGTATAGTCATTTATGTCTTACTTTTGTTATACCTCTTTGAGTTTGGCTTTTGGGTTGTGCTGGTTGTGTTTGAAACATGTTGGTATCTTGTTTTTTTCAAAAACCTTATTGCCCAGAATTTTGGTTCTACGCTTAAGCGTTGTTTCTTGCACTCGAGCAGTCTTTGTGAACTCTCAGTACTTTTGCAAGTTTGCAAAACTACTGGGAATTGGTATTCTTCGCTCGAGCGAAGCTTCTTGCGCTCAAGTGGTCTTGGCTCGAGCGGTCCTTGTTGTGTTCGAGCGTTGGCCTTCTTTCTATAAAACTATTGGGGTTTTGTATTTCACGCTCGAGCGACAATTTCTTGTGCTCAAGCGGTCACATCTTTTGTGTCTTACGCTCGAGCATCACTTCTTGCACTCAAGTAGTCTGCGCGTATATCAGTCCGTAAAATTCATTTTTTACATCACTTTTTCATTTTTCTCTCTCTCTAAACTTTCTAAAAACCCTAGATCTATACCCTCTCGCTGAAACTCACATTCTCTCTTCTAAAACACGTAGATCCATTGATTTTTCTACACTATTCCCTTTGAGAAGAAGGTAGAGCTCACTTAGAGCTTCATTTTCACCCGAACAAAGTTGGGTTTTGGCATTGTTGAAGTTTCTTCACTCTTTCTCCTGTCTTCTAAGCTTGAGGTAGGGATTCTTCACACTCTTGTATAAGTTTTACCTTAGTTATTTGCTATTTCAAAAAATTATAGTGGTTTGGGGAGTTTTTGGTAAAACCTAGGGTTTGAAATCAAAATGAAAAGAGGGGTTTTCAAATGGTTTCTTAGAAAAGCTTGGGGGTATGAAATTGGAGTTGATATATGTTGAAATGAGGCATTTCCTACATTGACATTGATTCTCTAAAAGAAAGGGATTTTGCCCTAAAATGTGAATGTTTGAAATTGTAAAGAGAAAATGGAATTGATGTTGAGAATTATGAAAT